CGTTATTTTAGTAACATAAAATGTAATAACACGACTATAAATACACAACACATAAATACTATGAAAACCACATAGGAGATCACACTGATACCAAAAAAAGAAAAAAAAAGTGTTAAACATTAGGGCACGAGAGATTAAAGCAGCAAGAAAATGGCTTCAGTAAGTTTAAAAATGTATGATTCCACACATCTACACTATTTTCTATTTTTATACAGAATCAGCTAGAAAACAGATATTTATCTCATAGAAAAAGGTCCAGAGCACCATGTATTAAAGCTTTTGACGTCTGGACTGAAAGGAAGGAAAAAAATATATAAAAGTTGTACCTTTATAAGAACTGAAAAAAAAAAGGAAGAAAAATGCATGTCATAAGTGGGTACCGATAAAAGCATTATTTGAAGGCAATCCATTCTCCATAGATATTTCTATCCCTAATTATGAAATAATTTAAATATACAAAAACAGAAATGCAGACACTAATGTTGGTAACACCAATGTACCAGTCACCAGTGTTAATAGGCAGTTAATATTACGCATATTTGATTCAGAATTTAAGAAATAAAATATCACAGATACAGCAAAGTCCAAACACCCTACCACTTACAAGCTTCCACTTGTAGGTTAAAACACGTGGTATTTGGTTGGGTGTAAGGAGGCTGGACTTGCTCCTACTTCCTTCCCCAGGAGTAGGCAATGTTCTTTTCTTTTTTTCTTTTAGATTCAGCAGTTACATGTGCTAGTTTGTTACTTGGGTATACTGTGTGACGCTCAGCTTTTGGGCTTCTAGTGAACCCATCACCCAAATAGTGAACACAGAACCCAAGAGTAAGTTTTTCCACCATTTCCCCGCTTCCTACTCCCTGCTCTTCGGAGTCGCCAGTGTCTACTGTTCCCACCTTTGTGTCCATGTGTATCCAACGTTTAGTTCCCACTTGTAAGTGAAAATATGTGGTATTTGGTTTTCTGTTTCTGTGTTAATTCACTTAGGATAATGGCCTCTAGCTACATCCACATTGCTGCAAAGGACATGGTTTCTTTTGTATAGCTGCATAGTATTCCATGGTGTATATGTATTTTCTTTATCCAATTCACCATTGATAGGCACCTAGGTTGATTCTATGCCTTTGCTATTGTGAATAGTACTACAACAAACATGTGAGTAAAGGTGTCTTTTTGGTAAAACAATTTGTTTTTCTTCGGGTATGTACCTAGTAATGAGATTGCTGGGTGAAATGGTAATTTTATGTTTAGTTCTTTGAGAAATCTCTACACTGCTTTCAATAGGGACTGAACTAATTTACAGTCCCACCAAGAGTATATGAGTGTTCTCTTTTTTCTGCAATCTCACTGACATCTGGTTTTTTTGTTGTTTGTTTTTGTTCTGGACTTTTTAATAAAAGCCTCAATGTTGTGAAGCTAGAATATATCATTTACAACCAGCACATGTTCCGTACTGCCCTAGGCCACTGAGATTATTACTCCATGCAGAACTTAACCTCTTTCTTTCCAAAGAGAATCTCATGACCCTTTAGGAACATTCTAAGTAAATATAAGATGATCACAACCACCACCTCTCAAATAGGTATAAAATACCAATTTACATTTCCAAGAGACCATAAAGATGCGAAGACTATGATGAAATATAATGAATAAACTTGGGCAAAGATCCTAGATTTCAGGCCTACTTGGAATACAATTTTTCTTGTCTAAAGTCCCAACTACAACAAAAATATTTCATCCTCATCACCATTTATTAAATGTCTCCTGGGCACAGGATCTGGGGGGGAAACAATGATGCTAATTCAAAGAGTGGTACATGGACCAGCAGCATATCATGCTTTATTAGTCCATTTTCACACTACTGATAAAGATATACTTGAGAATGGGCAATTTACAAAAGAAAGAGGTTTACTGGACTTACAGTTTCGCATGGCTGAGGAGGCATCACAAACATGGTAGAAGGTGAAAGGCACATCTCACATGGTGGGAGACAAGAGAAGAGAGCTTGTGCAGGGCAACTCCTGCTTTTAAAACCATCAGATCGCATGAGACCCATCTGCTATCACAAGAACAGCACAGAAAGACCTACTCCCATAATTCAATCATCTACCACCAGGTCCCTCCCACAACACGTGGAAATTATAGGACCTACAAGATGAGATTTGGGTGGGGACACAGAGCCAAACCACGTAATTCCATCCCTGGTCCCTCTCAAATCTCGTATCTTCACATTTCAAAACCAATCATGTCTTCCAACAGTCTCCCAAAGTCTCAATTCATTTCCGCATTAACTCAAATGTCCACAGTCCAGAGTCTCATCCCAGACAAGGCAAGTCCCTTCCACCTATAAGCCTGTAAAATCTAAAGCAAGTTCGTCACTTCCTAGATAAAATGCGGTACAGGCATTGGGTAAAAACAGCCATTCCAAATGGGAGGAACTGGCCGAAACAAAGGGGCTACAGGCCCCATCCAAGTCCAAAATCCAGCAGGGCAGTCAAATCTTGAAGTTCCAAAATGATCTCCTTTGACTCCATGTCTCACACCCAGGACATGCAACGCAAGAGATGGGTTCCCATGGTCTTGGGCAGGTCCACTGCTGTGGCTTTGCAGGGTACAGCCTCCCTCCTGGCTGTTTCACAGGCTGGCGTTGAGTCTGCAGCTTTTCCAGGCCAACAGTGCAAGCTGTCAGTGGATCTAACATTCTGGAGTCTGGAGGATTGTGGCACTCCTCTCACAGCTCCATTAGACTGTGCCCCAGTAGGGACTCTGTGTGGGGGCTCCAACCCCACATTTCCCTTCCACACTGCCCTAGCACAGGTTCTCCATGAGAGCCCTGCCCCTGCAGTAAACTTTTGCCTGGACATCCAGGCATTTCCACACATCTTCTGAAATCTAGGCAGAGGTTCCCAAACCCCAATTCTTGACTTCTGTGCACTCGCAGGCTCAACACCACGTAGAAGCTGCCAAGGCTTGACGCTTGCATACTCTGAAGCCATGGCCTGAGCTCTACATTGGCCCCTTTCAGCCACACTAGAGTGGCTGGGATGCAGGGCACCAATTCCTCAGGCTGCACATAGCACAGACACCCTGGGCTGGGGCCCACAAAACCACTTTTTCCTTCTAGGCCTCCAGGCCTGTGATGGGATGGGCTTGCTGTGAAGACCTCTGACATGCCCTGTATACATTTTCCCCATTTTCTTCAGGATTAACATTCAGCTCCTCGCTGCTTATGCAAATTTCTGCAGCTGGCTTGAATTTCTCCTCAGAAAATGGGATTTTCTTTCTACTGCATTGTCAGGCTACAACTTTTCTGAACTTTTACATTCTGCTTCCCTTATAAAACTGAATGCTTTTAACAGCACCCAAATCACCTCTTGAATGCTTTGTTGCTTAGAAATTTCTTCAGCTAGATACCCTAAATCATCTTCCTCAAGTTCAAAGTTCCACAAATCTTTAGGCTGAGGGCAAAACACGCCACCAGCCTCTTTGCTAAAACATAGTAAGAGTCACTTTTGCTCCAGTTCCCAACAAGTTCTTCATTTCCATCTGAGACCACCTCACCCTGGACTTTATTATCTATATCACTATCAGCATTTTGGGCAAAGCCATTCAACAAGTCTCTAGGAAGTTCCAAACTTTCTCACATCTTCCTGTCTTCTGAGGCCTCTCAGTCTCTGGGAAGTTCCAAACTTTCCCACATTTTCCTGTCTTCTTCTGAGACCTCCAAACTGTTTCAATCTCTGCCTGTTGCCCAGTGCCAAAGTCGCTTCCACATTTTCAGGTATCTTTTCAGCAACATCGCACTCTACTGGTACCAATTTAGTCTATTTTCACACTGCTGATAAGGATGTACCAGAAACAGGACAGTTTACAAAGGGAAGAGTTTACTGGACTTACAGTTCCGCATGGTGGGAGGCCTCACAATCATGGTGGAAGGTGAAAAGCATGTCTCACATGGCAACAGACAAGAGAAGAGAGCTTGTGCAGGGCAATTCCCGTTTTTAAAACCACTATATCTCATGAGACCCATTCACTATCACCAGAACAGCACAGAAAGACCCACTCCCATAATTCAATCATTTCCCACCAGGTCCCTCCCACAACACGTGGGTATTATGGGAGCTACAAGATGAGATTTGAGTGGGGACACAGAGCCAAACCATATCACATGCCAAACTCTAGACATAATGGAATCTCAGTCCTCATTTTAGCAAGATCCCAGGTAATGTGTATGCACATTAAAGTTTAGGGAGCACTCACTGGTTTAAAGAATTTAGAAATATGAAAACCTAGACTAAGGCAGAACCAAATCCAACCACCATTTTGCTAAACCTACCCTCTTCCTATCAGACCACATGGTTTTCAGGTGTTATCTCTGCAAAGTCCACACGTTAGTCTCATTAGACTGGTGGTAATCAAATGAGGGCAATTTTGTCCCTCAGAGGACATTTGGCAAAGTCTATAAATATTTTTGATTACCGCAACTTGTGTAGGGGGTTACTGGCATCTAGTACGCAGAAGTCAGAAATGCTGCTAAACATCTTACAATGTGGAGGACAGCTCCCAAAAATAAATAATTATCTGGCCCAAAAGGTCAATAAGTCAAAGGTTTTTTAAAAACAAAACAGTAAAAAAAATCCACCTGCAATTAGGCCTATGATTTCCTGGCTGAAATGAATTGTTCTATTCAGTCATTTGATAAACTGATTTGATCATCCTTATCCAAGGGGGGTTAATATAAACCAATGACCAAAACCACTTCATGCCCAAGCTCTCAAAGAGTTTAAGTTTCCCACGAGAGGCTGCAACCAAATCAATAATCATATTATCATAAATCATACAAATCAATAATCATATTGACAACAAATAGCAAGTACAGTGAAACAACAAATGCACAAATTGGAATATTTCACAATTACATGAATTTAAGAAGTAAGTACAGATATATTTCCCCAATAAAAGTCTGGTGCTCACTGGTTTTTTTGTTTCCTGTAATGCAGGATCTTTAATGAAAAAAGGCCACTTCGAGACGATAAACACTCACTGGACAAAACAACTTCGCTGAAAAGAGACCTCATATTATGCAAAAAAAATCTTAAAAGGTAATTTTTTTTAATTCCTCAAGTATTATCAAGAGCTTTGTTAATTTCATCAACATGCTATAAAGGAATGATTCTTTTCTTCAGAGAAGGAATCACAGCTCACAATTAGGATGGTGGAAGGTGGTCTAATACAAGAGGAAAATAGGTCACGGTATATAATTACACAGATGAGTACCGAACTCAGAGCTGACTAAGCCTGCTTTTATTAAGATAAACGTATTTCTGGAATGAGCATTGCTTTGCATAGCCTTGTATCAATTAAATTCTGCCCAAAGAGAGAACCCTGAGGTTATAGGTAATATGTGGCAACTTGAAAACACTTCATGCCGCACAATCCTAAGCTATTACACTGCACTAAGGGACAAGTGCACTCACTATCTAAATCAGATTGAATCTTTGGCATTGACATCCTAACTTTGCAAAAAAAAAAAAAAATTGTTGAAGGAAAGCAATCTACAAAATGCTCCCACTACATTTTAATAACTGTCTTTGGGTCTCATAAATCTCATTCTGCCATGTTCTTTAATTATGTTACCAAAGACTCCAAAGTGATAGCAGACAACGTAGGCTAAAACATTTCAGACCACTTCATTCTCATGTATCTGGATTTGTGAAACAAGGTCAAGTTTCACCTGAGAAAATTTCAAGACTTACACTATTACACAGTAACCTCCTATTTTTTTCTTTTTTTTTTTTTTTTTTGAGACGGAGCCCTGCTCTGAAGCCCAGGCTGGAGTGCAATGGTGGGAGCTCAGCTCACTGCAACCTCTGCCTCCCAGGTTCAAGCAATTCTCCTACCTCAGCCTCCCAAGTAGCTGGGATTACAGGTGCATGCCACCACACCTTGCTAATTTTTGTATTTTTAGTAGAGGTGGGGTTTCACCATGTTGGCCAGGCTGGTCTTGAACTCCTAACCTCAGGTGATCCACCTGCGTTGGCCTCCCAAAGTGCTGGGATTACAGGCATGAGCCGTGCCCAGCCACAGTATCCCTTTTTAAAAAGTTTAGCTATATATACAAATCTTTCTTAAATGTGATCTCTAGAATTTAGGAGCATTGTTTACATTCCTAAAGCCTCAAAGTTAACATAACGACAACTTTCACTACAGAAATTCAGTGATAATATCAGAAGTAACCATCAATGAGCAGGGCTCCACAAACAGACACCTACACAAACTGGCTCACCAGAATGCCTGCTTATCCAGTAATCCAGTTAATCATCATCCAGAAGTCTTGTTCATCTTTTAATATTTTTTCTGTTGCCTATCTCTCATCTTTAATGGACTAGCATGAGCTGGTAAGAAACAGTGAATCAACTGAGAAGTGGGCAGGGAAGGGAGGGTTGCTGAGCACACTAAGAGCTTCTTTTCTGATTCTTTTGGTTCTTATTTATTTTTACATTTTTGTATAAAATCAACATGAGGATAAAACAATTTCCTTCAATTGTGAAAGATCTGAAGTTTCTGTAGGTCCCTGTATCAGGACATTAAATCATCTCAGTCTACACTAAAGATAGGAAGAAGAGACTGAGCAGATATCACGAGGTCCAAATGATATATGTCTTTTTTAATGATTTTGTCCTATTTTTCATCCAACACATATGCCTGCCTTTTGGTCTCAATATATAATTTGGTCTTACTTGCCTTAAGAGAGTTTCTTTTCCTCACATCTCTCAGTCCATTACCGCTCTGATCTGCCCTACAGAAAAGGCTGCCAAAAGGTTCAAGTGTCTCAAGCTCTGAGACACTTGAACCCGTAAGACAGAATGCCCTCATCATTAACCCCACTGCTTTAAAAAAAAAAAAAAAAAAAAATCAATATTTAAGAGTTCAAAAATTACTACCAAGAGGAATTTCTCTTTAGCTTATTCCTTTAGAGTGTTCCTTTAAGATGAAGAAATCTGTCCTGGCATGAGCCTCTGCTGTATCAAACCGGACAGTGGCACAGGGTAGCAGAGGCACCCAACCAGCATGTCTAAAACCTCCCATCCTAAAGTGGAGTCTCATCTGCAGTTGCATCAAAACTGCCAAAATAGCAGTGTTTGTGGAAAGGGCCCAGGTAAGCTGTGTGCATTCACTCCGTTTCAGGAGGTAAAGCTGCTCTAGAAGTTTACCTTGGTCAATCATTCCCTTCCATCCAGCTCAAAGTGGTGGGAGCAGTGAAGGGGAATGATGTATATCATTAGGGCATATGTATGCAGATTCCCAGCAACCTGAGGAATCTGAGAGCAGAGTTCTGGACCTGCAGCATTAGGCCACATGCAGAAATACTGCAGCTCAAAAATACAAAAGACTCTGAGAAAATAATTTTATAAGGGTTTCTATAAGAAAAGGAATTATGTCTCTCATTCTATGGGATTCACTATTTCTACAAATAGTGGCTTCTATAATATTTCCCAAAGGAAAGGAATTTGGCTCTCATTAAATTATTTCTGGGAAATTATTCAATATTTCACCATATAATTATATATTACATAGTTAATATTTCTGTTTTCCAAAATAACATCTACAGTTTTTTTATATTTTAAACTCAAGTGAATCCCACAAGTACTTAGGACCTGCCATGAGTAGGACACCACAATGGCCAGGCGCTGAGGATCTGGGGGTTGTGTGCCTAGGACTGGGAAACCAAATTACACGTGGGAATATAGCAGCATGCATTCTCTCAAGCTCTGCAAGACTGGCATTTAAACCAAAATGCATCTAACTGTCAAGAGACAGTTACCAAACAAATCAGTTACCAGACACAGACTCTTAGTCACAGTAGACAGTTAAAAATGGAAAATGTGCTCCCCCTCCCTTATCTTTTAAAATATGAAACAGGCTCATAAGGAGAAAGGTGATAGAAGACCTACAAAGAAGCAAATGAGTACAAACCAACTATGCCCAGAGCCAAGCACACAAGGCTACACGGAAGAGGAGGAATAGTGCTAGTGAAAGGTTTTGTGGAGGAAGTGATTTGGGGTACTCATTCCTTCTACAGGGAGTCCATAGACTGGCAAAATCAAGTGTCTATCAATATTTCTATTTTTGTCATAAAGCAAAAGGAAAGCACACAGGAAAGGAAGATACATAGAAACCAGATATTCTTGTGTAGGAAGCAGCACACAGGTTTATATGGATGTACTTTTTTTATGTGGAACATGACTATCTCATATTCCATGTTTCAAAATATCTCTTTGTCATGCTTAAATTTATTGACCTAACTTGTCCTTCACTGTGATATGCACTGTGCTGGCACCACAAATACAGATGAAAAAGATGCATTCTCTGACATCAAGGTACCCACTGTTCCCACAATCTTTCTTTCCCTTGATCCCTGAATAAATCTTAAGAGCAAGGGATTCATGCCTTGTATTTCCAGAGTGCATATTCATTTATTTCACAAACATTTTAACTAATGTCCTAAATATTATGCAAAGAATACAAGAGTAAAAAAATGGCATGATCTTTCTCCTCTGAAGGAGCCTGTAGTAGTGGAAGAGACAAACAGCTGGAGAGGAGTGTTGAGAGGAGAAAGACACAGGATGATAAGCACATACTCAATCCACCCCAAACCAGGCTCAGAAAGTTGAGGATTCCTAAGGAAAGTGACAGCTAAGCAGAGGACTTGAGGATAAAAAGAAGTTAGCCAGTCAGGAAGGTATGGAAACAGTTTTCCACACAAATGAAAGTCTGTGCAAAGGTCCAGACAGACAGAAATCATCGAACCTAAAAAGAAGCAGAAGGGCCCAGGACAGCAAGAACTCAGTGCTGGGGATGGAAGAAGCTGGAGGCAGAACAAGAAAGGACTTCAACATTACAGACTTCGGACATTCTCCTGAGGGCAAGGACAGATGACTAAAGGGTTTTAAGCAGGATAATTGGCATTGCTCACATGTAAGATGGGCAGTAAACGTTTGTTTCCGATACATCAAATAACCTTTTGAATTTAATTCTAGTCTTCCCTCTGCCCTAAATCAACACGTCCGACATCAGTGAAGAATATACAGGATTCCTAAACAATAGGAGTTCTGGATAACACCTAGCACAGCACTGTGCAATAAAACCATAATGTGAACCACATATGTAATTTAAAATTTTCTAGCAGCCAGAGTCTTAAAAAGTAAAATTAAGTGAAATTTAAGATTAATAATATACTTTATTTAATAGAGAATTTGTAAATATTACTTCAACATGGGATCAATATTAAAAATATTGAGATACTTTACATTTTTTCATTCCAAGTCTGCAAAGTCTAGAGTGCATTTTATACTTATAGAACATCTCAATCTGGACAGGCCATATTTCAAGTGCTCAATACCCACACATGGCTAGTGGCTACCATAATGAACAGTACAGATGTAGAATGTACTTTGGGAAGCATTTCTCAGAATGTTTAAAGCACTTTTTATCATTTGTATTTGTATTCTAATTTGTAAAAATAATGCAAATCAGTTTTTCAATGGGAAAAAAAAACAAAAAAGCTCAATATTGAAAAGGTACCCATAATCCCATACCAAAAATACCAGTTAACATTTGAATGTATATGCTTGTTAGACACTGTCTCATGTCCAACATATATGTAGAATACACTTTTCTAAAAGTAAGGTCTGTCTGAATAGCTCTTAATATGTAAACATTTATAAATGATTTTTATGAATCCATAAAAATTTCTCTTTTAGGAAAAAACAATCGCATTTCCAACATAGGTTTTAAAAAAATACATTACACATGGGATTCTGAATAAAATAAAACATTAATTCTGCTTTTACAGTTATTACCTTTTAAGATTATACCTAAGTGAGTATTTCCTAGAACTCTGGAGTTTAATAGGGAACCATTATTATTTTAGGGACATGCTGTCTCCGTTATTACCTAGAAGTTCTCAAACTGCCCTGCTGCTCCAGTTTCTCTTTACTGCCACCTGGCTACTCCATTCTTCCCTTTTCAGTGCCCAAAAAAAAAGGAAGAAGAGGGGGGAAGGGAGGGGGAAAGGGAGGGGGGGAAGGGAGGGGGAAAGGGAGGGGGAGAGGGGAGAAGGAAGAAAAGAGGGAGCGGGGAGTGGGTAAAGGGGAAAAGAGGGAGGGAAAGGAGAAAAGGAAGACCAAAAGAAAGAAAAGGAAGAACAGAGAGAGGGAGGGAGGGACGGATGAGTGTCTAACTTACACAGAGTAAAAAGGTGGCTTCAAAAATTTGGTAGGTTTGACTATATTCATTGCCCTTTGCCTTACTACTCAGCAAATGTCTTGGAGACCATAGTGCCCTGTGAGTGACTAGTTCACACCTCTTTTCAGGCCTCTGCCTTCAGAAGTTACAAGATGATCAATTCAACCTCCACACAGCCTCCAGATGAATCCTGCTCTAAGAACCTCCTGATCACTCAGCAGATCATTCCCGTGCTGTACTGTGCGGTCTTCATTGCGGGAATCCTACTCAATGGAGTGTCAGGATGGATATTCTTTTACGTGCCCAGCTCCAAGAGTTTCATCATCTATCTCAAGAACATTGTTATTGCTGACTTTGTGATGAGCCTGACTTTTCCTTTCAAGATCCTTAATGACTCAGGCCTTGGCCCCTGGCAGCTGAATGTGTTTGTGTGCAGGGTCTCTGCCGTGCTCTTCTACGTCAACATGTACGTCAGCATTGTGTTCTTTGGGCTCATCAGCTTTGACAGATATTATAAAATTGTAAAGCCTCTTTGGACTTCTTTCATCCAGTCAGTGAGTTACAGCAAACTCCTGTCAGTGATAGTATGGATGCTCATGCTCCTCCTTGCTGTTCCAAATATTATTCTGACCAACCAGAGTGTTAGGGAGGTTACAAATATAAAATGTATAGAACTGAAAAGTGAACTGGGACGGAAGTGGCACACAGCATCAAACTACATCTTCGTGGGCATCTTCTGGATTGTGTTTCTTTTGTTAATCGTCTTCTATACTGCTATCACAAAGAAGATCTTTAAGTCCCACCTTAAGTCAAGTCGGAATTCCACTTCAGTCAAAAAGAAATCTAGCCGCAACATATTCAGCATCGTGTTCGTGTTTTTTGTCTGTTTTGTACCTTACCATATTGCCAGGATCCCCTACACAAAGAGTCAGACTGAAGCTCATTACAGCTGCCAGTCAAAAGAAACCTTGCGGTATATGAAAGAATTCACTCTGCTACTATCTGCTGCAAATGTATGCCTGGACCCTATTATTTATTTCTTTCTATGCCAGCCATTTAGGGAAATCTTATGTAAGAAATTGCACATCCCATTAAAAGCTCAGAATGACCTAGATATTTCCAGAACCAAAAGAGGAAATACAACACTTGAAAGCATAGATACTTTGTGAGTTCCTACCCTCTTCCAAATAAAGACCACATGTGCATGTTGTCATCTTCAATTACATAAGATAAATAAATATGTGCCCTCATCATAAGTATTATCTCTAGCACTGCCATCCAATTTAGTTCAATAAAATTCAAATATAAGTTTCCATGCTTTTTTGTAACATCAAAGAGAACACATCCATCTGTAATTTCTCTAATACTGACTTTTCTATTCTCTATTAATAAAAAATTAATACACACAATTATTCAATTCTATTATATTAAAATAAGTTTAAGTTTATAACCACTAGTCTGGTCAGTTAATGTAGAAATTTATATAGTAAATAAAACAGGACATAATCAAAGACAACTCACCCAGGCATCTTCTTTCTCTAAACACCAGAATCTAGTATGTAATTCTTTTCAACACTGTGCTTAAAGACTAACTTGAAAGCAGGCACAGTTTGATGAAGGGCTAGAGGGCTATTTGCAATAAAAAGTCAACTTTTTTTCCTGATTTGAAGAAGCAGGATAAGCACACACCCAGAAAATCACCTAAGAAACCCCTCATTGATTTACTTCATGGCACTGCAAAGGAAAAGGAATATTAATTGTATACTTAGCAAGAAAATTTTTTTTTCTGAGAGCACTTTGAGGACACTAGATACATGCTAAATATGTTTTCTACAAAGACTTATGCCATTTAATAAGCCTGGGGTTCTGGCATTAAAATTTTTTTTTTTTTTTTTTTGAGACGGAGTCTCACTCTGTCACCCAGGCTGGAGTGCAGTGGCGCAATCTCGGCTCACTGCAACCTCCGTCTCCTGGGTTCAAGCGATTCTCCTGCTTTAGACTCCTGAGTAGCTGGGAGTACAGGTGCGTGCCACCATGCCCAGATAATTTTTTTTGTATTTTTAGTAGAGATGGGGTTTCACCACGTTAGCCAGGATGGTCTTAATCTCCTGACCTTGTGATCCACCCGCCTGGACCTCCCAAAGTGCTGCGATTACAGGAGTGAGCCACCACGCCCAACCTAGAATATTTTTAAGTAGGCTTTACTGAGAGAAACTAAATATTGACATATGTTATTAGCAACTTCCCCTGTTCAATAGTATGGGAAAAATAAGATGACTGGGAAAAAGACACACCCACACCCTAGAACATATGTTATTCTGTTGGCAAATGGGAAAGGAGGTCATTTTCTTAGAAAGCAAATAAACTTGATTTTTTTTATCTAAAATTTACATTAATGCGTGCAAAATAACACATAAAAAGAAAATTCACACATCACATTTTTCTGGAAAACAGATGGATTTTACATCTGGAGACATGGCATATGGTTACTGGCTTATGAGAGCTACCAAAACTAAATTCTTTCTCTGCTATTAACTGGCTAGAAGACACTCATCCATGTTTCAAATGTTCTTTCAAAACATTTTTATAAGTAATGTTTGTATCTATTTCATGCTTTACTGTCTATATACTAATAAAGAAATTTAATACTGTCTATTTTTTTAATAATCAACATGAGGAAACATTACCAGATTTCCTCATAGTCAGGACATACGTAGTTTCTTTATATGCTCAATTATGCATATAAATTATGCATATGTATTATGCTAATACAAGGGAGGCAGTTACATAGAGAATTCAAAAATTCTATCTGCCACTTACTTTTCAGAATAAGTACTCCGGATAGGGCATGGTGGCTCACACCTGTACTCCCAACACTTTGGGAGGCAAAGGTGGGCAGATCACTTAAGTCCAGGAGTTCAAGACCAGGCTGGGCAACATGGCAAAACTCTTGTCTCTACAAAAAAATAAAATTAGCCAGGCTTGGTGGTGTACGCCTACAGCCCCAGTTACTGGGGAGACTGAGGTGGTGATCACCTGGGCCCAAGAGGCAGAGGTTGAAGTGAGCCATGATTGTGCTGCTGTACTCCAGCCTGGGCAACAGAGCAAGACCATATGTCAAAAAAAGAAACAAAAGTACTTCATATGCCCTATAACCTCATCAATATTTTAGGCAAAACTCAGAAAAAAATACCCTAAATTGAGGAAAAGCTGGACAGGTTTTTTTTTTCCCCTCAGTATCTACTTTCCACCGTCCTAACAGTTCCCAATTCTGGGTCAATCAGACTCTCTCAAAAAATAAAAAACGAAAATTGCCATGCTATCACAAATGTGCTTGGTAAACTAAGCTTGCTATAATTGTTAATCTGACTACATCTGTTAAAAAAAAAAAAAAAAAAAAGAGGCTGTGTTTATTCTTTACAACTTACATTGGCCAGGACAAATGAGTAAATACCAGGGTTTTAAATGCCCCCTACTGGGCCATGGTAAAAAGTGAAAGTGAAAAAGAGAAGATGCCTTTGTAAGCACGTGCTAAAGCAGAATAGCAATGCAAAAGTAATATTTTTCAGGAAACAACATGCAATGCAGTTAAGGAGATGGTGAAGCAACACTTGAGTAATAGTTACTGCCTATTAGAACTTTCAGGTCCAGAGTAACAACTAAAAACCAAGTGGCAGAGCACCAGCAATAATAAATTAACCCAGCAACTTCCCTGAGATCACTAGCACTAGTGTAGGTGGGCAACAGTGAACACTTGCAGGGTCCTTTTGTAGATAAAGCTACAGTGCAGGCATGCCAGTGTTCAGGGTGCCCACTGAGGCTTACAACTCAGGTGCCTGCAGAAGGCACTGTAAACACGGCTGTAAGGAAACAGGGGAAGCTAATGATGATGGTGTGCTGAGAGCCTTTGCCTCACCAAGAGAGGTCAAAGGGCTCTCAGCTCTAGTCAATTATCTCCTCATTTTTCAAGATATGAAAAGTCACAAAGTTTTTACATTGCTGGGGCACCAATGAAAAGAAAATACACCTGCAGACAGAATATGCCACTGGCTACTCTGTAACATGTGGAATGCAGAAATCTCACAGAAAGGTATTCAAAAGTCACTCATGACGACTAAAAATTTCCCTTTAACAGGAATCCTTAATTTCATTTTGATGCATAAGTGATTCGACAACTACCTATACAAAATGTTTTAAGGTTTTTTTATAAAAGGAATATTTGAGATAAGAGTAATCAAGAAACAGATCATAGAAAGATCATAATCATATAAAAAGATTACACAGTGACATCTACCCAGAGGTGGGTGAACCCTGCAACGGTCTTTTACAAAATGTTGTCATGACTAGTGCTCATTCGCTGGTCATCTTCAGCCTACGTCTTCTTTTCCCAGAAACAGAAGCAAAATTTTTCCTTTGGGAAAGTCATTTTGTCCTGTTCTCAACCATGCAGCTATCATATGCAGCTGACCCCATCCCCTATACAAGGGGCCAGCCATAACTGACTCTAGGCAATCAACATGTCTGATTCCACTGGCCACAAGTTGGGATGGAACATGATCCAATTTGACCTAATGAGAGCAAGTTCTAAGTTTCTGAAAAAATTATCTGAAGGGTGTGCCACAAAGATATAAAGTCTAGAAGCACTTCTTTCATCTGGCTACCATAAGAAGAGAGCCTAGAGCACCCTATGAGTTGAAACTGACACCATGGAAGGCACACTGAAGACATGCTACAAACTCAGTCCTGGTTACAAAGCTGAGTGCCTGCATCAGTCTTCATGTAAAACCATACCCACAGCCAATAAGCCCAATTTTAATTGGTTTCTTTTCTCTTTCTTTCTTTCTTTTGGCAACTACAAATGAGAAACTCGTGATATACTGGTTTTATCTAACAGAGTAATCTAAAGAGTTCAGAAATTCTAGAAAACACCCTCACACAAAGCTGTGCTTCTGCTTGACGATGTTAGTCACGTATGTGTCATTAGTTCTGTGTTCTATCCTTAACCCTATCGTTGCCATCTATATCTTTTAACTCTGGAGAAAAAGTATCAATAAATACAACAAATATCTGTAACATCAAGAGATAATATTACACAAATTACAAATATAACAGATCACTCCCCAGAATGACATGGGAGTTCTTTTGGGTAAGCAGCACTGTGAGGGTTTGTGTATTTGGTACTGTGTGGTCTTCAACGGTAAAAGCCATTACTTCCTTTTGGTCACTATCTTCCACAAGACTCTAATTGCATGTGGATTACCGTTTCATGACAAGACATCCCCGTCAAAAGAACCACTTTAGCAAAATGTCGTTTTCCTTTCCCACAGGTCACTTTTCAAAATGTTTTAACCACTTTATAGTACTGCTTGTACAAAATGATTAAATGTCGTATTAATTTCTCTGCAGTAAATGTATGTGATAAATGTTACATGTAAATCAGCTACAAAAAAGAAACAAAAAAGTGCTTCCCAAAGCGGTCTCAAGATTTTTAGGAAATAAGAGATATTACTGCATTCCTATCTTCCCCTGCTTCAATATAAGTTGGGTGTAAGCACAAAAGGGGTGTTACAAAAATAGGTCCACCTCAATAAACAGCAAAATATATGACAGGTATTCTCACTGAAAAAGTTTATAAGACTACTTGTTACTTTTTGAAGGTGTTAATTGTATGATTCTATGGCTTCTCTCACGGTCGCAGTCATAGCCACTAGCCACTTCACTTCACTTCCTAAACATTGTATCATGTGTTTTTGGGGACCTGCAACACAGGACTTAAGACCAGGGAGTAAATTTGTTCTTTATCAGCCTCCAGGTGTCACCAGCCTTAACTCTCATGGTATCAGCATGGCAAGGGAAACCCACACCTGCACTACTTCTCCCTTCTCTCCCAAATCCCCCATCATTTGATGACCAGCTAAACCTGCCCCAAAAGTGTGTGACAAAGGGCTTACTTTCCTATCATTCCATTTCCTGACATAAATGAACACCAAGAAAACATAGCCTCATCATATCGTACAATATTACATTACTTAAATTCTTGATTTTCTATTTTCTTTTCTTGAGATAGAGTCTCGCTCTTGTTCCCCAAGCTGGACTGCAGTGGCGTGATCTCAGCTCACTGCAACCTCCACCTCCAGGGTTCGATTCTCCTGCCTCAGCCTCTCGAGTAGCTGAGATTACATGTACTCGCCACCATGCCTGGCTAATTTTTGTGTTTTTAGTAAAGATGGGGTTTCACCATGTTTGTCAGGTTGGTCTCAAACTCCTGACCTCCGGTGATCCATCCACCTCGGTCTCCCAAAGTGCTGAGATGACAGGCGTGAGCGCCCGGCCTCAATGTTCTATTTTCTAAGCTAAAAGAGTCTCTATATTTAACTTGCAGGTTTTTCCAAGCTGTTATGTTGTACTTTCAACCATTATCTTTCTAAAGGAATACCAGCTCTCTGTGCTATCATATTGCCTGCATGAGGACGTAATCCTTATAAAAGCCAATTTCAACTCCACATCAAATTCACTTTCTTGTTAAGAAAAACATGCAACTATAAAAAAAAAATTGTCATGGCCAAGTGTAGTTCTTATCTAATAGTATGAAAGCAGGCGAAAAATAAGAAAAATTCTCTTATTTTAAGTAAGAAAACCAACATCAATACCCTTCAAAATAAGAGCTCCTTAAGTGTTTACAAAGTACATTTAGAATGTTTTGGTTAATGACAGATAAAGCTCTGAGAAACATTTAAAACCTAAATGAAAAACAATAAAATAAAAATCTAAGTTATATCA